TATACATGCTAAAAATTCCAGCTTGTTCTAGAACTACTCTGTTTGGAACTTTGTCCTGCCAGGTGATACCAAAAATGTGTCGGAGACAATGCATATGGAACGTGTTCAGCTTCCTCTCCTGCCATGCACAAAGGGTCCAGGAGTGTGCTCAGGACACAGGCTCTATAGACCTGGATCTTGGTATATGCCTTCAGCTTCTTATTAAGCCATACTCTCTTTGTGAGCCTTGAGAACGTGGTAGCTGCTTTGCCAATGCGTTTATCCAGCTCAACATCTAGGGACAGAGTTTCAGAGATGGTTGAGCCAAGGTACACAAAGTCATGAACAATCTCCAATTCTTGCGTGGATATCGTAATAGAGGGAGGTGAGTCCACACCCTGGCCCATGACGTGTGTTTTCTTCAGGCTTGTTCCCATCTGGTCCCATCACCTCCTGGCAAGTTTCCATCTGGTCCCATCACCTCCTGGCAAAGAGAAAGGGAAGATATGGAGATAGTGACAGATTTTACTTTCTTGGGCTCCATGATTATTGCAGATGGTGACAGCAGCCACGATATTGAACGACACGTGCTTCTTGAGAGGAAAGAAATGACAAACCTAGACAATATCTTAAAAAGCAGAGATATCACCTTGCCGACAAAGGTCTGCATAGTCAAAGCTATGGTTTTTCCAGTAGCGATGTATGGAAGTGAGAGTTGGACTATAAAGAAGGCTGACCGCCGAAGAATTGATGCTTTTGAATTGTGGTGCTGGGATGAGACTCTTTGGAGTCCCCTGGACTGCAAGGAGATCAACCCTGAGTGCTCACTGGAAGGATGGATCTGAATTTGAGGCTCCAATACTTTGGCCATTTCATGAGAAGACTCCCTGGAAAAGACTCTGATGTTGGGAAAGTGTGAAGGCAGGAGGAGTACTGGATGACACAGGACGAGATGTTTGGACAGTGTCATTGAAGCTACCAACATGAATTTGAGCCAACTCTGGGAGGCAGTGGAAGACAGGAGGGCCTGGCGTGCTCTGGTTCATGGGGTCACAAAGAGTAGGACACGACTTAATGTCTAAACAAGAACAATACATCACCTGCATATATAAAAATGAATTATAATTTCTATTTTCCTGTTTTGTGTTGTGAAATGACTTGTTCTGTCCTTTTGGCTGGAAGGCTTTACAGGAAGTCCAAACTCAGCTAGTGGCAATTGGCAAGGTTTGTTAATTCTAGAATGGCCTTGCTTAATCGTGCTTAATATATGGCTTATTAGTGGATTAATAAATGGAATAAAAGATAGTCCATATGTTTTCTTCTTTATCTTATAAACTTAGAGATAAGCTCACTTCTGGGCAGTTTTTTCATGGGCTTGTTATGTGTATTGAGATTTTTTTTAAAAAAATTAAGTTGTCTTTGTTAATTTCTTCAGATGTTCCATTCCTGCAAATGACAATTATCAAGATGAAGAGGAAGGTATAAGTAGCCTTCTCCATTCAGTTCAAGAAAAGGAGACCTTTCTTAAGGTGCATCCTTTTGTGGGTCTATAGTCATTCCCTATGTCCGCAACATAATTAAAGGCTGATGTTACCACAGTGGCATAGGAGTTTTTCCATGGTCCACATCCATAACGTTTCAATGCCATCTCCTTTGGAGTACTGAGAGTAAATCCTCTGCATAAGAATATTGCCTGATTTCAGGGTTGACCATGCTGAGAGTTACTACATTATTCTCCACATCTAAGCAGTTCTTCCATGAAGGTTTCACCACCTTAGTTCATAAAGCCATACCATGAGTAAATGGCCACCATATCCTTGCACAAGTATGAACTGGGCAAGGAAGCCCTTCTTAAAAATAGAGTTCCATATATATACAGAACTTCCACAAGAAATATGCATCTAATGGTCTGTGAATATATTTGACTCTTCTTGGATTTAGACCTGATTCTTCAGGTCCCAATAAAACTAGGAATAGCTTTTCTTACTCACTTCACTTTTCTGCCCCTCCCCATTATATGAAACATATTTATTTTATGACATATATCCCTTATCCCAGAATCTCAAGGTAGATTACAGAGCTGTATAAAATGATTTTAAAACACAAGATGTTTAAAACACAAAAATGAAACATTAAAATACAAACATGCACACAGGCAGAGCAGGACCTAAATCCTAGCTGGTAACCCCAGCTAGGGCAGAGCTATTCAATCAATTGTCCAAACTTTTTTGCCACCTGAGGACGAGCAGCCGATTTTACCCTTTACCACCAAAGTGCATAGTTCTCAAAGTTGGCCCAGCTATTTTGCTACCTGAGGCAGAAAATTTCACATTTACTTATTCCCATCTTTAAAGTGAAAATAACAATGAAAATAACAAATTAAATAACTAAAGGTTTCTGCTATTTTATCATATCCCAAAATTACTATTTGAGGAAACTGTCTTACTCTAATTGTAGGGATATTCCTGCATACAGAAGTACCATACTGCATTGCCATATAGATGCTATTCAATGTATGAAATCTGAAGATTTGCATAAGTATCTTAAAATTTAGACTCTAAATATAGCCCTTGCATCTTTTGCCATCTGAGCTCTTTTTTTTCTACTCCTCCCTCAACCTTTCCTCAGCTGGAAAGGTACAGGAAGGGCAACACTAAA